AAAAAAAAAAAAAAAAAAAAAAAAAAAAAAAAAGAATTAGGAATGGAGGATAAAAGCGACATACTTGTGAATTTTTTTCTGGTGACAACTGCTGTGTCAATAAATTCCAAAGCCATCCAAAGTGTTCATGACTTCGGTTTTTCGTTGTCACCAACAAAATGGGCTTAAAAGTGCTGTTGTTTTAGATCCCAATCTTCTTGAGTCATCAAAATCAAATTTTTGCCATCCATGACCAGAAATCAGGGTCAATTTTTTCACCTTTTTTCTGGTTTTCAAATTTTTTTTATTTTCACCTCTGTTGTATCAAATTTTGAAGCAAGTTTTTTTTTCACTTTAGATTAAGGTCGATTATAGAAATTCAGTTAGTTTTTTTGTGTACGTCTGTTTCTTTTTTTACACTTTTTTCACTCTATCAATAAACAATGTTTTTCAGTGTTGAAACCACAAAATTGCGCAGATTGCTGCAGTTTTAGAAGTGCTGCGAGAGTGGCTGAAAAGCAATTGAAGCAGGTATATTTGAGTGTTTTTTTTCTGCTGTCTATGTGCAGATAAAAATCTGAACTTCTGTAACATCTGTGAGTACCAGGAAAAGATTCTTAGATAAAAAAAAGCCGCTACTTTACAAAGAGTTAGTTATCTGTTCTTATAATACTTTTTTTGGGTCTCGGTCAACAAATTTGGTTTAGATCTCAAGAACTTGAAAAAAGATGGGACAATTCATCGATTTTAAAAATAAAAGAAAAAAACAGTTTTGGACTCAAAAAACTGTTATTTTTTCTTAGTTCATTTTACTTCTTTGAGGTGTTATAAAAAACTAAGCCTTTATTATTTTTTAACCTTTTGCAGTACTAAACTCTTGTAAGTTGTCAGTGTTTGAAAGATGTAACTGTAAAGCTCAAACTTATTTCTATATGCTAACTTCTAAACAACAAAATCAGACAAGGAATGACACCTGTAGTTAGCAGTTAAACATTTATTCATCAATTTTATTTTTGTTTCAAACCTAACGTCTTTCTGATACTTACGACTTTTTTTTTACAAATTATGGTACAAAATCGTTACCAATGTTTATAAACAACAAAGAATTTACAATGTTCTGCTGATTCCGTAGCATGTACTCTTTTCTGGTGATAAAAATAACATTTGATTTTCTTGTGAATAAGATTACCGCTTAATTATTAAAAAAATATACCTATCTAATCTGTCGGTAACAATGGTTATCTGCATCTTATTTTTTTTTAGTGTGTTATATTGTTATTCAAATCATCTTCTGTCAAGTCTTATTTGTTTTACTGAAATCAATGTTAATTGTTTTAATTTAAAGTCTTATTTTTTTCCGATGTTTATCTTTTCAATAATTAATTCAAAAATATGTTTCATCGGTAAAGGTATTAAAAAAACCGTTTAGATGTAATTTTTGAAATGGTTAAAGCATAAAAAATTGCATTGACTGCAAG